AAAAAAAAAAAAAAAAATCAGAAGATAGCAAGCGTTGGTGAAGATGTGGAAGTGAAAAAGGAAAACTTAGACACTGCTGATAATAACGTAAGTTAGTATAGCCTTAGAAGTTCCTTAAAGTAAAAATACCAGCCAGGCACATGGTTCACACACCTAAAATCTCAGCACTTTGGGAGACTGAGTCCAGAGGATCACTTGAAACCTGGAGTTCAGGATCAGCCTGGGTAACATAAAAATACGCAGAATGGAATAGAGGTTACCAGAGGATAGAGGAGGTAGATGAGAAAGAGGAATGTAGAGAGCTTGGTCAGCAGGTAAGAGAGTTATAATTAGATGGAATAAGTACTACTGCATAGTTGAATGACTAGAGTTAAGAACAATATATTGTATATTTCAAGATAGCTAGAGGAGAGACTTTTGAATGTCCTCATCACAAAGAAAAGATAAATTTTTAAGGTAATGGATATGTTAATTACCCTGATTTGATCATTGCACTATATATACATGTATCAAAATGTCACACTGTATTCCGTATGTACAATTATTATGTGTCAATGATAATTTTTTAAAAGATGAAGACACTAAACAGACCAGCTGTGTAGGTAAAACATGTTGTAAGTTTACTTTTCTGCAGCATGAGTATATACCAAATATAGATCGTTTAGTTTATCTTAGAACAAGAGCCACATTCTTTTATGGCTTTGTCATCTCCGGGACACTATTGTGAGGAAGGGAAGTTCTTTAGCTTTGTCCAGAGGAAGTAATTAGTAGATTGGAATGCTCTGAGTTTCTGGGATTTTAATGTTCTTTTTTTTAAGAAACAGAGTCTTACTCTATCGCCCTCGGTAGAGTGATGTGGTGTCACAGCTTACAGCAGTCTCCAACGCCTGTTAGGTAATTCTCTTGCCTCAGCCTCCCAAATAGCTGGAACTACAGGCCCCCGCTATTTTTTGTTGCCGTTTGGCTGGGGCTGGGTTCGAACCGGCCACCCTTGGTATATGGAGCCGGCACCCTAGTCACTGAGCCAGAGATGCCACCAGTCTTTGTATAATTTTGGAAGCCCTACAGTGATCAGGCACTTAATGTCTGCTTTTGAGATTTTTCATGATGTTCTTTGGCAGTTAACCTTGTAAGAAAAATACAGAATGAATCGGAACAGAGTTAGGCAGAGTCACCTCTGTATCTGATGAGTCAGCTGGCTCTGAGACCTGTGAGATTAGATTTAACCTGTTGGAATGTGAAAACTGTGTCAGTGAAAACAAACCAGAGGTTAGTTAGCCTTAAGGAGGAAGCATAGGAAATGGTAGAGTGAGCAAAAGTTGGCAGTCAGTTGACTTCTGTGATGGCAAATTCTTACATGTAACAATAAATGGAATTTTAGTAACCATTTTAGTCCTATGTGCATTTTAGTTATCTTGGTATTTCCCAGGACTGGTATAGAAATACAATAAGGGTGGTCACAGATATTTCATGGCATTAAGTTACCTGGAGTCTCCTAATTCAAAGAAATTCCTTTTTTTTTGACACAGAGTTGCACTCTGTTGCCCAGGCTAGAGTGTCATGGTGTCAGTGTAGCTCACAGCAACCTCAGACTCCTGGGCTCAAGTGCCCCTCCTGCCTCAGCCTTCTGAGTAGCTAGGACCACAGCCTCCTATAACAACCCTTGTCCGGCTAATTTTTCTATTTTTGGTAGAAATAGGGTCTTTATCTTGCTCAGGCTGGTCTCAAACTCCTGAACTCAAGGGATCCTTCAGCCTTGGTCTCCCAGAATGCTAAGATTACAAATGTTAGCCACTGGACCTAGCCTCAAATAAATTCTTGATCACAAGGCCTTTAGTACAACAGACTGGAGTGAGATCTATCTGTCCCCCTCCCCACGCCCCCCCCTTTTGCAATTTGTGGCTGAGGCTGGGTTTGAACCCACCACCTCCAGCATATGGGGCCGGCGCCCTACTCCTTTGAACCACAGGCACCACCCTCACCCCCTTTTTGAGACAGCATCTCATTCTGTTACCCAGGGTAGAGTACAGTGGCATCATCATAGCTCACTGTAACCCCAAAATCCTAGGCTCAAGCAATTCTCCTGTTCTGTTTCCCAAGTAGCTAGGACTACAGGCATAGCTAACTTTTCTTTCTTTCTTTTTCTTTTTTTGAGACAGAGTCTTACTGTGTCACCCTCAGTAGAGTGCTATAGTATCACAGCTCACAGCAACCTCAGACTTTTGGGCTTAAGCAATTCTTTTGCCTCAGCCTCCCGAGTAGCTAGAACTACAGGCACCTGCCACGCCTGCTATTTTTTGGTTGTAGTTGTCGTTGTTGAGCAGGCCTGGGCCAGGTTTGAACCTGCCAGCCCCAGTGTATGTGGCCAATGCCTTACCCACTGAGCTATGGATGCTGGGCCAAGTGCTAGGAATTTTAAAAACCTTGCTGATCATGTAGGACAGTAGTTTTCAAACTTTTCCATTCAAGTACTTTAAATGGTTTAGGAGAATGAGCCAGTAGTATTTAGTTTGGAAGGATGTCCCAGAGTAGCTGAGTGCAAATTTAAGGGGCCGGGTTTTGGCTCGG